CGGAAGGGCTCAGCTTGAGAGGGGTATCTCTATGCTGTTTAAAAAGGAGCACAGTTGGAGGCTGTCTACAGCCGAGGTAGCACATCCCATTCTTCCTTGAGGCAGCTCTGAACAATGCATTCCCTCTTTGGGGTGTTGGGGTGACATAGCAAAGGTAGGCAAAAGCCTACTTTGCACATTTTAGGCAATTCTATTGCTATCCTAAATTCACTATCATCACGGGAAAAGCTCAAGAAAAAAAAAAAAAACCTTTGCAAAGATTGTGTCAGCTAATCCTCTTAGCAGAGTGGAACAGCTTTCATGGTGTCCCGCTGACATGTGGGCCTTCTGGTGGGAAGCTCTTGGCTTGTCACCAGGGAGGGCAGGAGTGAGGTGGCAGATGTTTCAGCCTTTGGGGGAGGGTTTTTGTCAAATAATCTGACTTTGTTTAAATCCATACATCAAAATCCATATGTGGGGGATTGGAAAGACTACTCTTGTGGGATCTGACAACTGGTTCTAGCCCAAACTTTTTCGCTTCTGACTCCGCAACTTTGGGCAAGTCAGGTTCTCCTTACCTCAGTCTCCCCAATGATAAAATGAATTGTGTAGGGAGAAACCCTGATTAAAGGTACCACTGACCACACCTGCTTGGTCAGAGTTAAGTAACAAGGGTTTAAGAAGGAGGGAGTTGCATACACGGCTCTCTTTCGCCTGGCTGAGCTGACTGGGAAGCTTTTCTGGGTCTGTCCTGCTCAGGTGCAAACCTGGTCACTGGCTCCCCATCGGGGAATTGAACCCCGGTCTCCCGAGTGACAGGCGGGGATACTCACCACGCCCACTTGGGTCTGGTCACAGGTACTGCTGACCATGGTTTCTCCCTACAGAAGTGTTTGTCTTGAGGGGTTCTATAGCTACCACAATGATGATTCTCCATCACTGAGGTCAGGGGTCAGAAAACTGTGGCCAGCAGACCAAACCTAGCCCACTACCTGTTCTTGTGAGTAAATTTCACTAGAACATAGCCATGTTCATTCTCATACTTGTACCTATGGCTGAATTCATGCTAGAACAATAGAGTTGAACAAATATGGCAGAAATAAAGACCACTGGTCTGTGAATATTTCATCATTTCCCATTCCAAAAAAGAGAAGAAATAGGGGCCATGGGGACATGCTTTCACAATTATTTGGACAAAAAGTTGATGTGTGTCAAGCAACTGCTAATGTCTGGATGTGCCTTGGGAACTTAAGGGCAAGAGGAGAGGGTTAAGGGCAGTTGGGGAGATGTGTTCTAAGAGACCAGCACACCAAGGCAGTGTCTTCAAGGATTCCTGAGTAAGCAATGTCCTGGGTGCTTAGGTGACATCACAGCCAAAATACCCACCCCCTGCAGTGCCTGCATCAGCTCCTTCCTGCGCACATGCAGGGTGCTTAGTGGGGGAGGGGGAGGCACAGGCTTTGGTTTTATGATCAAGGTCACCTGTCCGGCTACTGAAATGAGGAGAGGGAAATCTCTTACAAGGAAGAAATGAGAGGAGAATCTCTCTCTCTCTCTCTCTCTCTCTCTCTCTCTCTCTCTCTCTCTCTCTCTCTCCTGGTAAAACGTCTGCACCATCAAGCTGTCACCTCTACAGGGAAGAGCTCTCTGCCTAGGAGAGTTACCAGGAGTGGGAGGAACCCTGATAATATTGTTATGAGAGGAGCTCTGTGAGCACAGCTTCTGCGTGCTCAGTGCCGCCCTCTACCATCGCGGCTTCACCTTCTTGTCAAAACATCTCCATGGGGTGTGGCAGCTGTTATAATCCTCATCATTCTGTGTTTCGCTGGAGAGCAAAGAGACTTCACAGTGCTCTTGCCTCCAGTCATGTAATACCCGGGACACTTGTTTCTCCCAGTCACTTGTCTCTGAGCACTGGTTCCTGCTGCTGCTCATTATCTGTGTTAGGGAGGAGAGGCTCTTCTGTAATAAACTCCGTGTCCTGCACACAAGTCCTACACCTGTTCGCAGACGTGAGAGAAGGCTCTCAGCTAATGAAACCACTTGACTCTAAAGTTAGAAAGCTGGACCTCAGGGAGGTGGCCTAGGGGCAGCGCATCAAATTAGCATTTGGTGAGAGTAGAGCTGGGACAGTAGCTTGGTCCTTACAGATGAGCACTTATCCCATGACCCTCGTCATATTTCTCTGCATCCCCCATGCCTTACAGTGCTGTATATGTTATATACAAGCATTTGTACTTTAGGGAAATGATGGAGGGGAAGCCAAGACAAAGGTCAGTCTAAAGTAAGTAAGGATGTTATTCCTGCTCAATGATGCAAGACCCCTGGGAGCAGGGAGAGATTCCAGCTCCCCTAAGAGACTCTTGATATTGCAACTGCTTCTGACACTTGTGTATGTCTCACACATGCTATTTTCTATTTGTATGAAACTTCTCTTTAAATGTATTAAGAGAAAATTAATTTAAAACCCAACATAGACAATAGAGATTCTTCCATTTAAAAAAAATTAAGAATGAACTCCGGGCTTAGGGCCTCTGAGCGTGTGCGTGGCCCATGCAGTTACATAGGACCCGAGGTTTAGGTGACAGCCACACATTCAGGATTTAATGACATTTTATCTTTGGATGTGTGTTTTGTGAGTGAAATCTGTCACCATCTTCAGAGGTCTTGGGTGTGGATGGGGTAGAATCAGGGACCAGAGGGAATCCCAGACTTTTGTGAATGTCACTAATTCCTAAGGGAAAAGTACATCAAATATTTAGCTAAAAGAGAGTAAAAGAAAACTTTAATAGAAAAATAAACAAACACAATGATGAGTCCAGAGAGTGCTGCAGGATGGAGAAAACAGCTCTCGTTTGCTTTCTGAATAAGGAGTTCTGTGTTGCTGTGTTGGACTTGACCCCGCATCATGTAGCTTGGTCTAAGGGCCTTGCTACTCAAACTGCACCCCAATGGCCAGTAGCATTAATGCCACATGGATACTTACTAGAAATGTGGAATCCCCAGCCCTGTCCATACCCCTTCCTTACAAATGTACATTTTAAATGGGAGCTCTGGGCAAGGTACATCGAATTAGCATTTGGAATCCAGGACTGGAGAGGAAGGAAGCATGGAGAAGGACTTGTTTACTAAGCACCGTGCATTGCCGGCTCTGCAGCTTCAACTCATTTTGCCCCCTTCTCTACCTCAGGACCTGAGAGCCAGCAATGAGGAGAGTGGTCAGCTTGAAAGAACCCGGAGCACTCCTGGAAATTGCTTTGACCTTTAGCTACATAAGCCTTGAGGACTTGCCAGCCCTCTCCTGAAGAGGGGAAGGAGCTTACTGCTCACTCTCGGCAGAACTGATTTTTGAGCTCACAGGGAACATACTGGTGACATGTTTAGTTACTTTGCAGGTTCAAGCAGGACCTATGCTTTTGTGAAGTGAGCCCCTAAGCCTTCCTCTTTCCCATCCCTGGTTTTGCCTGGGGACAGGGATCTCCTCCTGGCCAGGGCTGGTGGCAAGATGACAGCTGGCAGGAAGCTGCCACAGCGCAGGAATAAGAGAGGGGCAGCAACCAGTTGTCATTACTTGTGACTGTAACATGAAGGCATGTGGTCAGGAAGCAGGAAGGACAGACAGGCTGTTTCATTAATTGGAATGTGCCCTCTTCAAAATTCGTGCCTGGAGATGCAATAATTTTGTGCCCAGAGCAGAGCAGGATAAACGTCTTCTCTACAAAATCTATAAGAACAAGATGTTCAGAGCAGAGCCCATACCCTCAGGGTCTACCCAAAAGGAGGGTATATGTGGAAAGAAACTAGGGTTTGCACTTACATTTTTTTATATATTTTAAAATATGAAGGAAAATAGCTTTACTACTATGTAAAACAGCAATTGGTCCTTGCTTCACTGAGTTGCCCTCAAATCGGTCATATTTACGCGAGGCTCACTGAGAAAAGAGCAGAAATTTCGCAGTGTGTGTCTTTACATGGCTGTAACTGGTGAATGAGTATGAGTACACAGAGTTGTGCCAATGGATGGGCGGCAATAGATATAATCCTAAGGAAACAGAGTTTCCCCCAAGCCCCATGGAAACAAAGCAGAGGGGCTGACTGGGGAGCCCCGTTCTATGGACGTACAGAGCCCTTGCCCATGAGCCACGCCCAGCTCCTCAACTTTCAATTTCTATTTTATTTTATGTGTGTGGGTGTTTTTGCCTGCCATGGGTATGTGTGCCCCACTTTCATGCCTTCATGCCCATAGATGCCAGAAGAGGATGTTTGATTCCCTGGAATTGGAGCCACGCATGGATTGTTGTGAGCTTCCAAGTGGATGCTGGGATTGAGCTTAGTCCTCTGTAAGAGCAGCCAGGGCTCTCACCCACTTCCCAGTCCAGGTTCGGCTTCTCCATGGGAGGCTGTGCTGTTCCAGGGTCTCTCCGTTCTAAGGTGTTTTGTATGGGTCTCTCGGGTCTCTCGGGAAGAAGTGTCCCAGCAGAGTTTGCCGTATCTCACCTTTCCTTCACAGTACTTCACCACTGAACCAGCTCTGGCCTCCTCCATGCGGCTGGACTCAGGACTACAGTTGACCCCATCAGTGTTCTGCTCCTCATTCCAACAAAGGGCTTATGGCCAAGCATGGGGGTGAGAACGTGTGTTATTAGCAGACATCCTTGTTAGTTAAGCAGATAACACACTGTTGAGAGAGACTGGCCCACAACTCCCCAGAATTTTGGCTCCATGGATAGCTCCCGGGTCTTCTAACATAAAAACTCATCTTTTACCTAACCATACTGTGTTTGGATCATTTTCTGAGAGAGGGTTGGTGGTTGAAATCTTGGTGTGCCTCAGAACTGTAAAAACTCCTATCATTTGGAATAAATCTCATTAATGTGATATGATAATTGAATTACTCTCTAATTAATGTAGCATTACCTGTGGCAAAGGTGGATTAGCTTCTCTCTAATTGCCCTTGACTGTCACCTTGAGTTTATAGGAGTGCTGATGAAATCAATAAGGGGTGTGCATTGATTTTTCAGACACAAGGACCATTACCAGTGTGGCTGCAGACATGTCCCACGGACCATCAGTTTTCAACATCGCAGTGGCCAGGACCAAGATGAAACACATGAAGGAGTAAGTCATGGGCTGCCTGTCCCCAGAGGACGTGGTGCTGAAGCACAACAACCAACTATGTGATCCAGCTGTGTGATGTTGTCTTAGTTCCTTTGGGTGTTATAACAAAATGCCTGAAACTGGGTAATTTACAAACAGTACAAAGTTATTTCTCATTAAATGTGGGGACTGGGAGGCCAAAGATCAAGGTCCTAGCAGTTTCCCTTGTCTGGTGATTGGACATCTCTGCTTCCAAGATGATTCCTTGTCCCTTTGCCTTCTCCTGGCGATAGGCAGAAGGGCAGAAGTACTATGTGTGCATCTCTTATAAAGACCTTAATCTAATTCACCACAGGAACCCCAATGGCCCTTTCCCTTCCAGCTCTGGCTGGCACTGTGAAAGCAAAGGTGTTAAGTGTTTCCAAAACAGTGGTGCAGCAGGCCTATGAGAGACTGCCCCATCTCAAAAGGAAAGAATGCCAAAGAGGACAGGGTAACTGGCCCCAAGTAAGTCACAAGTCCAACTGGACCATAACGTAAAGTGTGTGTGTGTGTGTGTGTGTGTGTGTGTGTGTTTGTGTCCTCCTCAAGCACCATCTGCCATATTTTTGAGGTAGGATCTCCTTGGCTTGGAGCTCACTCTGTGGACTAATCTAGTTGAACATCAAGTCCCAGGGATCCCCCTGTCTCCACCTCCCCAATGCTGGGATTGAAAACCCCTGTATCACACCTGGATTATTTAATGTGTGTGCTGGGGCGTTGGGGTTTTAGACTTGCAAGTAATCTGCTGACTAACTGGGCCATTTCCCAGTCCAATAAAAGTAATCTTAAGACTTAAGATAGTCTATAACTTCAAGTCCTAGCTTACAGACACAGCAGGATGGAAAGACCTATGCTATAGCTCTCAGAAGCTGGAGTCTCAAACCTCCACCTTTCTCAGACTGCTTTCACATGCTGGTAGTCGTAGAGTGACCTTAGTTCCACAGTGCCACTAGATACTGTCTCAGTGGGTACCACTTGTTGCAGCCTTTCCCTGAAACAATTCTCTGCCTGGACTTGATAGCTCTCCAGAGCACACTTTGAATCTAGGTGGAGGTAGCTATGTCTCCTCTCCATAGACAGGTACATAGACTCTGTGTACCTAAAGAGTTAGCATTGCATGACCCTGCCAGATGTTATAGTGTGTTCCTATCAGAGCAGTGGCCTATGTTACAGCTGGATCCGCATGAGCCAAGAAATACTGTGCCTAAATACACGAAGCAGAAACTTGAGTCAGTGCTGGGCAGCAGGTCTGAAGTTCCATGAGGTCTGTCTGAGCTTCTGCTATGAAACTATTATCCTCTCAAGGCCCTGGTACCCTGGGATGGAGATGGACCTTGGAAGGTCTCTGTGATGCCTTTGGGATGATTCTTCGATTGTTTCGGTGAATAACATTCAGCTTCTTTGTATTCAAACAAATCTTAACCAAATATTTGTTTGGATGTACCATTGGCATTCTCTCCCAAACATACTTTTTTATTGTTTATGTGATCAGGCTGAGAAATGGCATTTTTAATTCACTTTTCTCACATTTTCCTGTAAGCAATCATGAGAAAGCATGCCCCTTCTATCATCACCTTTGTTTAGAGATTTCTTCTTCCAAATATGCTTGGTCATCACCAGCCAAAGTTCTTCCTTCTAATGAATTTGAACATGGATGCAATTCAGCCAAGGGTTTTGCCGCTTAACAAAGAGGGCAGCGTCTCCTCTAGTTTCTAATAGCAGCTTCCTTCCAGGTTGGCATCAGAGCAATCCTGACTATTCATCTCACACTCGGCGCTCTGTCCGTGACCACTTAGACAATCTTCGAGAAGCCTGAGGCTCTCTACAGCTTCCTTCTCTGGGCATGCATCAGAATAGCACTTTACAGTCTAGCCTCTACCCATTACCCTATCCCAAAGCTACATCCACATGCTTATTAGATAGCTGTTACCTGACACATCTAGGAAACAGATTCTATCTCAGTCCTCTTGTGATTCTAATAAAAAAATACCTGAAGCTTGGTCATTTGTAAACACAGATTTACTTCAAGTGTGGAAGTCTAAGACTGAGATACCAGCCATGGAGTCTGTTTTGTGTTGGTCAGCCACTCCTGGGCATGGGGTCTACCGTGGGATGTGGCTAATATGCCCAGCGACACTCCACTGGAGAAAAGTGATTTTTCATTTCCCAGTGTTGACCTTCATCACCCTATGCAGATCTGTCTGGGAGACCTGGGATTTGAAGACCTAGAACAATGGAGCAGACTACAGTTGAATGCTGCAGACAACTTTACTTCAGTTTCAGTGGCCCTTATACATGGATGTAACAAAGAAAGCGTGATCCAAGAAAGGCTTTTGGAGTTCAGAAAAACATGATTAGAAAAACATGTAAATAAACTCTAGTCAACACTCTCTAAATATTGACAGAGCAGCCCTTTCCCAGAACTTTCTCAGACCAATTTAAACGTTGTTGCCTGGCACATAGTATAGATTAATCTGGGAAAGCATGAAAGCAAGGCAGATGGCCCTATTACTGTTCTGACATCCAACAAGAATAAACATGTCTTATAAATTGAATGCAAATGTTTGTACAGGAGGCACGAAATAATGTCCAAGGACAATCCAGGGAACAAAATGCACATGAGGTAAAAGGCCCTCTGCCTTGTTTCCTGGAGCTTTTCTCATAGCTCCCCCTGGAAATGTTCACCAGGCATCATTCTTTTTTGACACCTAGCAGGTATCATTGGCAAATGGTGCCTTGGTTGAAGGTAGGACTTTGTGAGCACTTCTCCTTCTCTGTGCCGGGATTTTGTCTTCCTTAGTTCTTGACTATATATGGCTAGAAAATTTGCAGCTTGCTTTTTAATATGGACCAGTGCAGTGAAAGCATCTACCACTTGGATGGAGCTGCTCCTTTGAAGGAAAAAACCTACGACCTCCTTATTATCCAGCTCATAAAGCCCTATACCATTCTAGAAAAAAGGAAGACAGAAAGAAGAAAAGAAAGAAGGTGAAAGGAAGGAAGGAAGAAATGAAATAGAATAGAATAGAATAGAATAGAATAGAATAGAATAGAATAGAATAGAAATTGAGGCTGCAGAGCAGTGCATCTTCTGACAATGTTGTATTTACCCAGATTTTCAGACTTGGGACCCAGTCAGAAAAGGGGAATCGGCTGCCCCTTCACAGTGCAGTGACGCACATGCTCATCATAGAGGTGTCGACAGTGAAAACCCAGAAAAGAACAAAGAACGACATATGTCCCCAGGGAGGTTATAGTGTTTATAGAGTGCCAGGCGTCATGTCAAAGGCTGGATGGCACACGGGGTTGTATTACACAGGCAATGGTTGAGAGCAGTCTGGTGGAACCAAGAGCAGATACTGATACCATGGTCAGAAAGGAAGGTTGGGAGGCTGCTGAGAGACGTGGAAACCTGCCCCGGCTTTCACAGAGGAGTGGGATTTGGAGAGGTGAGGAGAAGGGAGGAAAGCCGCCAATGAGCCAGTTTTCACGAAAGTCCTTGGCTTTACTAAAATAGGTGGTTTCCCAAACTTTGCTGAGTGAGTTTCTTTCTTTGCTTTGTTTGGTTTGGCTTTGTTTTGAGACAGGCTCTCACATCAGCCCAGGTTGGCCTGAAACTCACTATCCTCCTGCTTCCATCTCCTGAATGACAGGGTTTTGGGGGGTGTGCTCTTGAGATGGACATGTGTACTTTAAAAAGAGAAGTAAACAGGTCAGATTTGGAGGACACACATACACTCACACACACTCACACACACACACACTCACACACACACACACACACACACACACACACTCACACACAAACTCACACACTCACACAACTTTCAGAGGTGAGTTCTTGTCTTCCACATTGTTGAGGCAAGGGCTTTGTTGTTTCTGACAAGCTTTGTATTTAAGGTAAGCTGGCCTGCAAGCTTCCAGATGGTTCTCCCGTCTCTGCCTCCTATCTCTCTATAGGGCTGCTGGGTGACAGGTGTGCCACATCCAGCTTTATACCTGGGTTCTTGGAGTCATTCAGGCCTCCAGTATGTACAGCAAACACTTTTACCCACTGAGCCATCATCTTCCCAGCTCATGGCTTCCTGCTGACTTGGAACAACAACCAGCACCACACTTGGCATTCAGTTGTCACTACTGACATTTATAATGGAGCTCTTCTCCACTCATTCTTTGTCCTCATGACATTGGCATTTTTAAAGTATATAAAACAATTTGTAAGATGCCCCTCATTTGTCTTGTTTTTCCTTATTATTTGATTCATGCTAGACATTTTGGTGGCATCCTATATACTTTATTCTGTGTGCCCATGTGAAATTTATTTTTTAATTCTGGAAAATTGAAGACTATATAAAAATATCCAGTATAATCAACCCCTTCAAGCTGGGCGTTGGTGGTGCATGCCTTTAATCCCAGCACTCCGGAGGCAGAGGCAGGCAGATCTCTGTGAGTTCAAAGCCAGCTTGGTATACAGAGAGAGTTCTAGGACAAGCTCCAAAGCAACACAGAGAAACCCAGTCTTGAAAAACAACAACAAAAAAGAATCAACCCCTTCACCAAGACCCATCAACCTGTGCAGGGATTGGCAACTCATGACCAATTTTGTGTTTCTGTATTTCAACAATTCTTCCATGTTGCATTAAAGGTTTTTATGACTTTTATTCATTATATTTTTATTCATTATTATTTCAGCAAATATATAAAAATTAACATTCTTCAACATTTTCTCATGCCCATTAAACATCTCAAATTCTAGATGTTCAAAACTCAACTCAATTTCCTTGCCTCCATCCTAGGAAAGATCTAGGTTCATAGCAAGGCAGCTTCTAGTGCAGTCATCGGTGCCTCTAAAGGCCTGTGGTGGTGATGCCATCATCTGTTGTGACCGTGCAAAGCTCTCTGAGGATGCTGAATAGCAAAACATGTGGGAATTTGAAGCCAACCTTCAAATTCTCAGATGTGGGATCCTGGACTGAGGT